CGTGTGCCACCGTGTCCGGTCCAAGAATTCTCTTTAAAAACTGTTCGAGTTTTATAATGGAGTTTATAATCCGAGCACTTGGGGAGGCTGAAGTGGGCGAACCTAGGGTCAGGAGCTCGAGACCAGCCTTGCCAACATGGTGAAACCCCATCTCTACTAAAAATATAAAAAATTAATCAGGCATGGTGGCAAGCACCCATAATCTCAGCTACTCCAGAGGCTGAGGCAGGAGAATCACTCAAACCCGGTAGGCAGAGGTTGCCGTGAGCCGAAATCACACCACTGCAGTCCAGCCTGGGCAACAAAGCAAGACTCTGTCTCAAAAAAAAAATAAAAACTGTTAGATAAAGAAGCACCTTGGCCTTCTAGGTGCTTCTTTATAATTAGATATGAAACATGGCTAATTATAAAGAACACATTACCTGTGGGGCAGGGGAATCCTTCCTGATACTTGCCAAAATTAAGATTAATCACCAAAAGAAAAACATGGTTTTATCTGGGTTGAAGCCAGGAAGTCAGCCTGTTGTGCTAAATACCTCCGGTCCCCAGCAGAGAACCATTTCTACTGTAATTCCTGTGCTGTTTAGGAACTCCAGAGGCAGAAACAATTGTAATCAGTACTTGATACTATTAGGTAAAGTAATTTTTTTTTTAAGACAAGTGTCTCACTCTATCACCAAGGCTGGAGTGCACTGGCACAATCTCAGCTCACTGCAACCTCCACCTCCCAAGTTCAAGCAATTCTCCTGCCTCAGCCTCCCGAGTAGCTGGGACTACAGGTGCATGCCACCACGCCCTGCTAATTTTTTTGTATTTTTAGTAGAGACAGGGTTTCACCATGTTGGCCAGGATGGTCTCCATCTCCTGCTTCGTGATCCACCCACCTTGGCCTCCCAAAGTTCCCCAAAGCTGGGATTACAGGCGTGAGCCACTGCGCCCAGCCAGGTAATTTTTAAAAATAAATACGATTATCAAATTTTATTAAATGTCTTTTCAGCATCTATCAAGATTGAATACATTATTTTCATTTCCTCTGACCTACTAATACAACAAATCATACCAATAGCATTCCCAATATTGTACTATTCTTGCAATTCAAGAACAAGCCCCCTTGCTCACTGTGTGCGTATGGGTATTAATATAGTACTGAATATTTGTGAATATTTAGAATTTTTTCATTGAGATTTTTGGGTTTTTTTCTTTTTAGAGATAGAGTCTCGCTCTGTCACCCAGGCTGGCATGCAGTGCTGCAATAACAGCCTTGCACTCCTGAGCTCAAGAGATCTTCCTGCCTCAGTATCCCAAGTAGCTGGAACCATAAGCACACTCCACCACATCCTCCACCACACCGAGCTAACTTTTCTTTTTTTCTGTAGAGACAGGGTCTCACTATGTTGCCCAAGCTGGTCTCAAACTCCTGGGCAGCATACTGAGGCTCCATGGTGAGAACTCCTGGCCTCAAGCAATCCTCTGGTCTGTGCCTCCCAAAGTTCCGGGATTATAAGCATGTGCCACTGGGCCTGGCCAGAATCACCTTTTTTATTTTGTTTTATTTGTTTGTTTTGAGACAAAAGTCTCACTCTGTCACCCAGGCTGAAGTGCAATGGCATGATCTCGGCTCACTGCAACCTCTATCTCCTGGATCAAGTGATTCTCCTACTTCAGCCTCCTGAGTAGCTAGGATTACAGGTGTGTGCCACCAAACTGGGCTAATTTTGATAGAGACAGGGTTTCACCATGTTGGCCAGGCTAGTCTCGAACTCCTGTCCTCAAGTGACCCACCCACCTCAGCTCCCAAAGTGCTGGGATTACAGGCATGAGCCACCGCGCACGGCCACAATCACCTTTTGAGGAAGAAGAGTGATACCGTTTGGCAAGAGGAGGTTAAGCTGCTCTCACACTGAAAACTCAACTATCCAGAGGGTCATTCTCCAAGGGTTCTGTTTGTGTGGGGTGACCATATTCCAAGCGTTCTGTATGCATGGGGTGACCATATTCGAAGGGTTCTGCATGTGTGGGGTGACCATATTCCAAGGGTTCTGTATGCGTGGGGTGACCATATGTCTAGTTGGCCCACAACAGTCCCCATTTACACCTGTTGTTCCAGCTTAGTTATTAAAAGCACTTCCTTCAGCCATTAAAAAAAAAGAAAGAAATCCTGCCACTTGCAACAACATGGATGAACCTACAGGGCATCATGCTAAGTGAAATAAGCCAGAAAGAGAAAGACAAATACTATACGATCTCACTTATATGTGGAACATAAAAAGTCAAGGTTAAACAGAGAGTAGAATGGTGGGTGCCAGGGCTAGGGGGTGGAGGAAACGGAGAGATGCTAGCCAAAGATCACACATTTTCAGTTATAAGACAGGTAAGTTTGGGGGAGCTAATGCACTGCACAGTGACTGTAACTAATACTACTATATTGTATATTTGAAATTTATGAGAGAATAGATTTTAAGTGGTCTCATCACAAGAACAAAAAAATCAGGGCCAGGCACAGTGGCTCACACCTGTAATCCTAGCACTTTGGGAGGCCAAGGTGGGTTGACTGCTTGATGTTAGGAGTTCAAGACCAGCCTGGGCAACATGATGAAACCCAGTCTCTATTAAAAATACAAAAATTACCCAGGTGTGGTGGCACACACCTGTAATTCCAGTTACTTGGGAGGCTGAGGCATAAGAACCCCTTGAACTCGGGAGGCGGTGGTTACAGTGAGCCGAGATCGTGCCATCGTACTCTAGCCTGGGCGACAGAGTGAAACTTTGTCTCAAAAAAAAAAAAAAAATTATACGGTCAAATTAATTACACTGAAACTTTATGATTATATGATAAGAACATATATGCGTCTATGTCTGCCTATTCATAATTGTCTAGCTATAGCTGTCAAAAAATTATTATTTTTATAGACACTAATACAGAGCATTAAAAAAAAATTTTTTTTTTGAGACAGTTTGGCTCTGTTGCCCAGGCTGGAGTACAGTGTCACCATCCTGGCTCACTGCAACCTCTGCCTCCTGGGTTCAAGCAATTCTTCTGTCTCAGCCTCTCAAGTAGATGGAATTAGAGGCATATGCCACCACATCTGGCTAATTTTTGTATTTTTAGTAGAGATGTTTCACCATGTTGACCAGGCTGGTCTCAAACTCCTGACCTCAAGTGATCCTCCTGCCTCAGACTCCCAAACTGCTAGGATAACAGGAGTGAGCTACTGAGCCCAGCCAAAAAAATTTTTTTAATTACAAAACTTTTCATCCAGGTATGGTGGCTCACGCCTGTAATCTTAGCACTTTGGGGGCCACAGCAGGATGATTTCTTGAGGCCAGGAGTCTGAGATCAGCCTGAGCAACATAATGAGACCTTGACTCTATGTAGAAGACAAAAAATTTTTTAACAAGAAGTTATTATTGAAGCCCAATCTCAGCACACCCAACCATCCTAAAACAAATTTAAAAATCAGAAAGAACACTTAAGATATCAAAACTTCTTATGATTTGGCCGGGCGCGGTGGCTCACGCCTGTAATCCCAGCACTTTGGGAGGCCGAGGCGGGTGGATCACGAGGCCAAGAGATCGAGACCATCTTGGTCAACATGCTGAAACACCGTCTCTACTAAAAATACAAAAAAAATTAGCTGGGCATGGTGGCGCACGCCTGTAGTCCCAGCTACTCGGGAGGCTGAGGCAGGAGAATTGCTTGAACCCAGGAGATGGAGGTTGCGGTGAGCCGAGATCGCGCCATTGCACTCCAGCCTGGGTAACAAGAGCGAAACTCCGTCTCAAAAAAAAAAAAAAAAAAAACTTCTTATGATTTAATTTCGTCATCAGAAATGTACCATCATGTAAACAAAACTGATGCTATGTTTCAAACCAAGAGAGAAAGTGTTTTCAGAAAAGGAGAGAGTGAAACAACACTGTCAAAAACAAAGTACAAACTGATAGTAGGCCTTCGAATTTTGTAATGGCACAGCTGTTGGAGACCTTCAACAGAACAGGTTCAGGAGAACATGAAACCCAGAGCAGAAGGGCTTGCATAACACACACACGGGTGCGAAGGAGCACAGAAGCAGTGGATACACACTATGTTCTGTCCAGTATAAACAGCTGTGGGCCAGACGCGGTGGCTCACACCTGTAATTCCAGCACTTTGGGAGGCCGAGGCAGGTGGATCACTTGAGGTCAGGAGTTCAAGACTAGCCTGGTCAACATGGTGAAACCCCATCTCTACTAAAAATACAAAAAATCAAGCTGGGTGTGGTGGTGCCTGCCTGTAATCCCAGCTACTCAGGAGGCTGAGGCAGGAGAATTGCTTGAGCCTGGGAGGCAGAGGTTTCAGTGAGCCAAGATTGTGCCACTGCACTCCAGCCTGGGTGACAGAGAGAGGTTCTGTCTCAAAAAAAAAAAAAAAAAAAAAAAATTACAGAGTTCCTTCTAATCTATATAATTCAATCACCAATAAGAAAACTGAAGTCTTAGAAGGCCTTATCTTTATAGACAGAGGTACACAGAGATGAGGAGCAGCCAGCACCCACCTACGGCCTGAGAAGTGAATGCCGCGACAATCTGCGGACTGGCTAGGGCCTCCAGCCTGTTCTTCAGTGCCTCCAGGTGCACACATTTTTCAGAGTAGTCTGGTGTATCAACAAGCATCATCAAGCTATTCTGCATACCTGTTAGCTTGGCAGAAATCACAGCTATGTCCTAGAAAAGAACAGAATAGAGGATATTTTTTATTTTTGAGACAAAATAAGCCTGTCGCCAGGCTGAAGTGCAGTGGCACGATCTCAGCTCACTACAAACTCCGCCTCCTGGGTTCAAGCAATTCTCCTGCCTCAGCCTCTCAAGTATCTGGGACTATAGGCATGCGCCACCACGCCTGGCTAATTTTTGTATTTTTAATAGAGACAGGGTTTCACCATGTTGACCAGGCTGGTCTAGATCTCTTGACCTTGTGATCTGCCTGCCTTGGACTCCCAAAGTGCTGGGATTACAGGTGTACATTTGTAACTTTTTAAAAATTGTGGTTGATAAATCATTCATTTTGCTTTACAATCAAGAGTTTTTCATAAGACATCATCTTACTTCATCCTTATATCCAGGTGTCAAACCTATTACTATTTTCCACAGTTTGCAGCCTCAGAGGGGGTCAATAACTCACCAAGTCCCCATGGTATATAAGGCTCCCCCCTCACCATGTTCCACCCTCTCATTCATTTACCCCCAATGTTCTCTGCCTGTGCCGGTTTTTCTTCTTTTTTTTTTGAGACAGGGTCTTGCTCTGTCCCTCAGGTTGGAGTGCAGTGGTATGATCATAGTTTATGGTGGCCTTCCACTCCTGGAGTCAAGAGATTCTCCCACCTCAGCCTCCTGAGTAGCTGGAACTACAAGTGTGCACCACCATACCTGGCTAATTTTTAAATTTTTTTTGGTAGAGATGGGGGTCTCATTGCCCAGGCTGGTCTCAAACTCCTGGCCTCAAGTGATCTTTCCACCTCAGCATCCCAAAGAGCTGGGATTCCAGGCATGAGTCACTGTGACTGGTGCCTGTACATCTTTATGGAGGCTTTTCCTGAACTCACTCTGCGACTTAGAGGCTTCAGTCACACAGAGGGTGCAAGCCAAAGAGGCTGAAAGCACACCGAGCAGTTTCAGATCTTCCCCACCCTGAGTCTGAAGATTTTTGAATATTCCTATTGGCAATCAACTCTCCCTTACGGTTTTGACGAATGCTGTATCTTTTGCTTTCTCCAAACCTCAAGTTCTTGCTTAAATACTTTTCATAGCATCCTCTAAACAAGAAACCTACCTGAGTCTTAAATGTCTCCTCAATATCAGCACTCAATGTGCTCCACTTATCTGCTTCCTGAAGAGATTCGGCAGCAAGTTGCATTCTGGACTTCACCTGGTCAATTTCTACCAACACCTGAAAGAGATAAGAGGGGTGAAAAATGAAGCGGTAGGTCCTTTTTCTCCACCTGCCACCAGGGACTTGAAATGTAAGTATGGTGGCATGCTCCTGTCTTTAGGAAGCTTCTGTCTCCTGAAACACCAATCATCTGGCTAAATTTAATCAGCAGTGCTGAAGAGGTAAATCAGCTGAAAGACTCAAGCAAAAGCATAGTTTTGGGGCTGGGCACAGTGGCTCATGCCTGTAATCCCACATTTGGGAGGTTGAGGCAGGTGGATCACCTGAGGTCAGGAGTTCAAGACCAGCCTGGCCAACATGACGAAACCCCAACTCTACTAAAAATACAAAAATTAGCCAGGTGTGGCGGCACATGCCTGTAATCCCAGCACTTTGGAAGGCCGAGGTGGGAGGATCACTTGAGACCAGGAGTTCAAGACCAGCCTGGGCAACATGGTGAAACCCTGTCTTCACTAAAAATACAAAAATTAGCTGGACGTGGTGTTGCATGTCTGTGATCCCAGCTACTTGAAAGGCTGAGGCACAAGAATTGCTTGAAGCTGGGAGGCAGAGGTTGCAGTGAGCTGAGATCACGCCACTGTACTGCAGCCTGCACTCCAGCAACAGAGCGAGACTGTGTCTCAAAAAAAGGATAGAATAATTTGAGTGCTGGGGCAGAATCCTGAGTGATGGCTGGCTTCCCAAAACACTGTGCTGTTCTAAACCCCGTATGAGAGTGAACACCTTCCCAAAACAAGAATCGCCATTTACGACAGGAGCCAAAATACCTGCATGGATTGAGATGTATCCTGTTCAAATTTTTTAATGTCCTCCTTGACAAGAATCATCTGTTCTTTCAGGAAAGATGCCTCTTGTTTTAGAGCTTCGACATCACGGAGCACTTTGGGCATGTTCTGGAGGGCTTGGTGGCTTGTTTCTATGGCAAAAAAAAAAAAAAAAAAAAAAAAAAAAGCAATATCCACAAAAGGTGAAAGGCGAAAGCTGGACCAGTCACCAGTAAAAAATAGGGCACAAATCAGACAACAGAAAGGAAACGCAGGACCAACCACACAGTTATTGGAGCCTGCATAAAATATGTGGCAGGAGAGGGGACGGGCAGTGAGGTGGCCCCTGCCAGAATCACATTCCCAGACTGATGGGAAAGGACCTTTGATGTCACAGGAATGAGTAATCAACCTGTCCCAACACCAACTGTTTGCTACCACCAGTGAAATCATAACCCCATTTGCAAGGAGGCGTGCCCAGGGGCTTTTATACAAATGTCCATGGCAGTCATTGCAGCCATCTTCTACTGATAAGAAAACTCAGAGAGGTTAAAGTAACTTGACCAAGATCTTACAGAGCTAAAACTAAGCTTCACATGGGTCTGGCCCCAGTGTCTGCTTTCCATGGTTTTTTTGTTTGGTTGGTTTTTGGTTTTTTTTTCAATACAGAGTCTCACTCTGTCCCCCAGACTGGAGCACAATGGCGCAATCTCAGCTAAGTGCAACCTCCGCCTCCTGGGTCCAAGCGATTCTCCTGCCTCAGCCTTCCAAGTACTGGGATTACAGGCGCCTGCTACCAAGCCCAGCTAATTTTTTGTATTTTTAGTAGAAACAAGGTTTCGCCATGTTGGCCAAGGCTGGTCTTGAACTCTTGACCTCAGGGGATCCACCCGCCTCGGCCTCCCAAAGTGCTGGGATTACAGGCATGAGCCACCGCACCCAGCCTATTTTAAAATTCTTTTTGAGACAGGGCCTCACTCTGTGGCCCACACTGGAGTGCAGTGGCACAGTCACAGCTCACTGCAACCTCAGCCTCCTGGTCTTGGGTGATCCTCCCACCTCAGCCTCCTGAGTAGCTGGGACTACAGGCACACACCACCAGGACTGAATAATTTTCATATATTTTGTAGAGATGCTGTTTTGCCATGTTGCCCAGGCTGGTCTCAAACTCCTGGGCTCAAGGGACCTGCCTGGCTAGGCCTCCCAAAATGCTGGGATTATAAGTGTGAGCCACAATGCCAAGCCTAAAAATATCTTAAATCTACCCATTACTCATCATCTTCACTGCCATCAACCCAGCTGAAGCCACTATCATCTATTTTCTGGGCCTCAGCAATAGCCTCCTAAACCATGTTACTCTTCTGCTTTAAAATCCTACAATGCCTTATTTTCAAATTAAATTCAAACTCTGTTTATTTATTGAGACAGAGTCTCCCTCTGTTACTCATACTGGAGTGCAATGGCACAATCTCGGCTCACTGCAACCTCTGCCTCTAGGTTCAAGCGATTCTCCTGCCTTAGCCAGCCTCCAAGTAGTTGGGATTACAGTTGTGTACCACCACTCCCAGCTAATTTTGGTATTTTTAGGAGAGACAAGGTTTCGCTGTGTGTCAGGCTAGTCTCAAACTCCTGGTCTCAAGTGATCCACCCACCTTAATTTTTTAAATTTTTAGTAGAGATGGGATTTCATCATGTTAGCCAGGCTGGTCTTGAACTCCTGACCTCAGGTGATCCACTTGCCTCAGCCTTCAAAGCGCTGGGATTACAGGCATAAGCCACCACGCTTGGCCTTAAATTCAAATTTTAATGTGACAATGAAATCCCTGCACAGCACTCTAACCTGGGTGACAGAGCAAGACCCCGTTTCTTAAAAAGAAAAAAAAAAGAAATAAAATAAAATCCCTGCATAACGTGGCCCCTGTGGACCTCACCAATCCAAGACTGGGTCTTGTTCAACAGCGTATATTTTTGAACCTAGAAAAGGGTTTGTGCCCAATAAATATTTGTTGACTGGCTAAATGAAGAAATCAGTCCTCCAATTTGGGGTCCTCAACATCTACTTGAACCGCTACAATCATCTTTCCTCATTGCAGACTTGGGCCCTGGTACTTCCAAAGTACCAGGATTACAGGTGTGAGTCACTGTACCTGGCCAATTTGCTATTATATTATTATTAATATCCTTTCTCTTTGCCCTACAAAGTTTTCCTTCAAGGTCTAACACAGGGAAGTGCTTTATGATTCTTCTAAACAAGATGTAACTGAACCCTCCTGCCAGCTTTCACAACTCCAGATTCTATTCTCAGTAAAGCCACCCATTGTAATTTAACTGTGTTTCTATCTTCCCCACAGGCAGCAAGCTCCAGCAAGATAAACTTTTCCTCCCCACTGCCCATTTCTGGACACATGCATATTAAGTGCGTAATAATTAGTAAAAGATGCAAGGTACAATAAAGAATATGGGCCGGGCACGGTAGTTCACACCTATAATCCCAGAACTTTGGGAGGCAAAGGCTGGAGGATCGCCTGAGCTCAGGAGTTTGAGACCAGCCTGGACAACATAATGAGAGGCCATCTCTACAAAAAAATTAAAAAATTAGCTTGGCACGGTGGCACATGCCTGTGGTTATTAAGGAGGCTGAGGCAAGAGAATTGCTTGAGCCCATGAGGTGAAGCTGCAATGAGCAATGATCATGCCACTGCACTGTAGCTTGGGAGACAAAGTGAGACACTGTCTCAAGAAAGAAAAAAGAAAAGAGAGAGATAAAACAATCTGCAGTGAAATAAAGCCCCATCCCTAACTTTACTTAAACAATGGGCACATCTGGTCGGGTGCAGTGGCTCATGCCTGTAATCCCAGCACTTTAGGAGGCCAAGGAAAGTGCGTCACCTGAGGTCTGGAGCTCGAGACCAGCCCGGGCAACATGATGAAACCCCATCTCTACTAAAAGTACAAAATTAGCTGAGCGTGGTGGTGAGCAACCATAATCCCAGCTACTCGGGAGACTGAGGCAGGAGAATCATTTGAACCAGGAGGTAGAGGCTGCAGTGAGCCAAGATGGTGCCACTGCACACCAGCCTAGGGGACAGAGCGAGATTTTGTCTCAAAAAAACAACAACAAAAAGGGAACATCTCCTGGACCATCCACTTCCAGTAGAAGCAGTCTGTTTGGTCTTTCCAGCTCAGCCTGGGAAAGAGATTTGTGTGCAGTGTGTACTGAATCAACACACGGTGAATAAAAGTCAGGTCAAGGAATTACATGAAATGGTTGCCAGTGCATGTTATTTTTTATGATTTAACTTACCCTCAAAAACTGGTTTAAGCCAGGTATGGTAGCTCACACCAGTAATCCTAGGGCTTTGAGATGCCAAGATGGGAGAATCACTTGACATCAGGAATTTGAGATCAACCTGGACAACACAGTGTAACCTGGTCTCTAAAAAAAAAAAAATTTTTTTTTTTTTAATTTAGCCAGGCATGGTGGCACATGCCTGTAGTCCCCGTTACTTGGGAGGCTGAGACGAGAGGATTGCTTGAACCCAGGAGTTGGAGGCTGCAGTGAGCTATGATGGTATCACTGCATTCCAGCTTGGGCAGCAGAATAAGGAATGAGACCCTCTCTCTCAAAAAAAAAAAAAAAGTTTAAGTCTCCATTAAGACCAGCCTATCTTCCTCAACTGACATGAAATCCACTAAAACAATGTTTTCCAGATCTGTGTCATTCCCTTACACCTATACTATAATACATTTAGTGCCAGATACAGGAATCCGTTGGCTACTTCCTTCATACTCTCAAAATTCACTCTTCTTTTTTTCTTTTAACAGTTTATTGTTTGATACAAAAACAGGCCCTTTAACTCTTTGAATAACCATCTCACAAACTCTGGCTCCTAGATTACAAAAAGTCAAAGCCAACTTTCTTGGATACTGGGCCCTTGACTCTGACATTCAAGTCACCATAACAGAAACCCAGAAACCGGAGCTGCTGTGTCTTACATTCTGGAAGGTGACTCAACAAATACATGTTAAGAATGGTTTAAAACTTCTAGCATTTAAAAAGATCCATCTTATCTTCCAATGCCTATAGATAATAATAAAAAGGGAATTCCAGAGATCTGCTATTGAGTTAGAGAAGGACAACTTCAATAAAATCCACTCTTTTAAAAGTTTCAAAAGGAAACTTTAGGCCAGATGTGGTGTCTCACATGTATAATCACAGAACTTTGGGAGGCCAAGACTGGAAAACCCATTGTGCCCAGGAATTTGAGACCAGCCTGGGCAACAGAGTGAGATCCCATCTCTACACTTTTTTTTTTTAAATTGCATTTTAGGTTTTGGGGTACATGTGAAGAGCATGCAAGATTGTTGCACAGGTACACACATGGCAGTGTGATTTACTGCCTTCCACCCCATCACCTATATCTGGCATTTCTCCCCATGCTATCTCTCTCCAACTCCCCACCACCGATGATAGACTGGACAGGGAAAATGTGACACATATACACCATGGAATATTATGCAACCATCAAAAACGATGAGTTCGTGTCCTTTGTAGGGACATGGATGAACCTAGAAACCATCATTCTCAGCAAACTGACACAAGTACAATTTTTTTAAAAACAAAATTGGCGGGGCGTGGTGGCTTGCACCTGTAGTCCCAGCTACTCGGGAAGCTAGAGGATCGCTTGAGTGCAGGAGTTCGAGGCTGCAGTCGGCTATGATCGAGCCACTGCACTCCAGCCTGGGCAACAGAGTGAGACCCTGTTTCAAAAGAAAAAACAAAAAGAAAGAAAAGAAAAAGGAAACTTATAGCCCAGGGAGAAGAGGAAAAGCAAGTGTTCAAGACAGCGTGGCACCCAGCTGAGACTCCCGCTGATGGGATCAGGACTTCCGCTAGCCAAGGGAAGCACCGGTATTTGCTGTCCATGCGTGCACCGCCCACCCGGGTGCCCCACGCAAGTCCCGGGACCTCTGCCCAGCGGAGCGCAGGGGAGGGTCCCGCGGCCAGGGCCCCTCGCGGCTCACCCTCCACGGCGTGGTTCACCTCTTGGATGAACAGCTGCAGCTTCATCACCAGGGTGGCTGCGTGGCCGTCCGCCTTCCCGGACGCCGCCTCCTTGGAGCCGGCCCTGAAGGCCGCATTGATCCACTCCTTCACGTCAAAGTCGTCGGCCAGGAACTTGGAGAAGTCCATGGCGGCACTGTCTCAGGCCTGGCGTCCAGGACTTAAGAGTTGGCTCCGGGAGGCAACGAGTATGCAGAAGCGAGCGAACCTGCGAGAGCTCCGAAGCTGCCCTCCGAGGCGAACCCCGGAACCTCCAGGACTGGTAGCTTACCCCTTTGCGCTTCTCTGTTGAGCCCACTCAGTTTGCGGCTGGGAATGACCCTCGCCGCGCGCCGTTCTTCTTCCGGAAGTGGTTGGCCGTTACCATAGCGACTGCGGGCGTTTCGAGAGCTGAGCTGAGCTGAGCTGAGCTGTGTGTGGGAGAAACGCCCCAGACTGAGAGCTCCCGGCACCGACGAAAGTCCCGCATCTGCTAATATTTGGCAAGGACTAAACTATGTGCTTACTATGAAGCCCTGACATACATATTAGCGCATTTACCCGGTAGCTCACGCCTTTAATCCCAGCTCTTTGGAAAGCCGACGCGGGAGCATCGCCCGAGGCCAGGAGTTCAACAACAGCCTGGACAACAGTGGAGCGCAGTGGGCAGCAATGGAGGGCAATGGAACGATCTTAGCTCACTGCAGCCTCAAATTCCTGGGTTCAAGCGATCCTCCCACCTCGGCTTTTCGAGTACCTGGGACTACAGGTGCGCGCCACCACTCCCGGCTGTTTTCTTTTTCTTTTCTTACGGAGTCTTGCTCTGTCGCCCAGTTTGGAGTGTACTGGCACGAACTCGGCTCACTACCAACCTCCGCCTTCCGGTTCAAGCCATTCTCTTGCCTCAGCCTCCAGAGTAGCTGGGATTACAGGCCCCCGCCACCACGCTAATTTGTTTGTTTTAGACAGAGTCTCACTCTGTTGCCCAGGCTAGAGTGTAGTGGCACGATCTCAGCTCACTGCAACCTCTGCCTCCCGGGTTCAATAAATTCTCCTGTCTCAGTGTCCCAAGTAGCTGGGATTAGGCGCGCGCCATCACGCCCAGCTAATTTTTGTATTTTTAGTAGAGACGGGGGTCTCTCTATGTTGGCCAGGCTGGTCTCGAACTCCAGACCTCAGGTGATCCGCCCGCCTCAGCCTCCCAAAGTGCCGACATCACAGGCGTGAGCCACCTCGCCTGGCCTTTTCTTGACGATGTGTTTTGAGGTGCAGACCTTTTAAAGTTTAATAAAATTCATTATCACCATTTTTTATGGATCATGCTTTTGGTGTTGTGGCTGAGAAATCTGTGCTTAACCCACAATCATAAAGAATTTCTCGACCGGATGCCGTGGCTCACGCCTGTAATCCCAGCACTTCGGGAGGCTGAGGCGGGTGGATGCCGAGACCGTGCCATTGCACTCCAGCCTGGGCAACAGAGCGAGACTCTTATCTCAAAAATAAAAATAAATAAAATTCTCAGTCTGGGCAACATAGGAAATCCCTGGCTCTGCAAAAAATTTAAAAATTAGCCAGGTGTGGTGGCGCCACGGTAGTCCCTGCTACTCGAGAGGCTGGAGTGAGAGAATTGCCTGAGCGCAGGAGGTAGAGGCTGCAGTGAGCCATGATCACGCATTGCACTCCTCCAGCCTGGGTAACAGAGCAACATCCTGTCTCAAGAAGAAAAGAGAAAAGGGAGTCGGGTGGTATGAGGGTATTTTTTAGGTTCTAAGATTTTATGTTGTTTCATGAGTGGGACCAACCCAAAGGGGAGGACAAGATATCATCCTTTGAAACCCTACAGGGAACAGTTCTTCCAGAGCGGCCTGTAGTTGGGTTATGAGTGGCTGGCTGCCATCTCCATGCCTGATAGCCACTGGTTTTTCACTGGCATCTCCTTTAGTTTGTCTCATTTTTCTGGGTTGGGTAGGTTTTAACTGGGCTCTTTTGCTAGGAGTCCCAATTATTTGGGGGGAGGGGAGAGAAGGGGAAGGGAGGGGAGCAATATGATAGTGTAAGTCCACTTACTTTGTTCTTTTTTAAACTTTGCTGCTCTGGCCCGGCATGGTGGCTCACGCCTGTAATCCCAGCACTTTGGGAGGCCGAGGCAGGTGGATCACAAGGTCAGGTGTTAAGAGACCAACCTGACCGACATGTGAAACCCCATCTCTATTAAAAATACAAAAATTAGCCAGGCATGGTGGCATGCACCTGTAATCACAGCTACTCAGGAGGCT